CAGTTCCTGCCACCACCCTATCTTCCAACAATTAGCCCCTTGTAGCTTCTTGTTCCTAGTAGTAAGTCCAGGAGCGCCTAGTAGCTTCTTGCTCCTCAAAAATGCCAGATGATGGATGAATCTCTTCACTCCCGGTCCGTGGCTTCCCGCGCAGTGGCATCGCTGGTGGGTGTGGCTGGGGTGGGGTATCCCCAACCTCGGTCAGTCCACGACGACTTGAGGAGAGGACGACGTTGTAAAAAAAGAAAACATCGGTTTACAGGTCCATGAAAAACAACAGTTGTTCATCTATAGAAAGGTGGCCATGAACATGCAGACTGAAGTAGTCAAAGCATCTTTGTGTCAACTACGACTACAACTGGCTGCGTCTTCAGTTTAAATTGATGGATCCTCCAAAAAAGGAACTGCGAAGCAAAGCCCACTATATATTGCCAAATTCGCATCAACACACGTTTCAGTTGTCTTACAAGCGTCCTTTTGTCTGGTGTGTTACTCGGGCACTGTGTTTTCTGGGTAAATATATGCTGAATTGATTTGGTAAATGAGCCTGACTACTGGACCTTCTTTTACGAGGCGATGGCTGCAGTGTTTTGCACAACTTGTACCTCAGGTGTTTTCCGCTCGTTGGATGTGGATCAACAACCCCATACTGTACTTTCACACGCAAATGGCTTGTGACTGGAGGTTCATCCTGTAAGAAGCTTGGAAAAAGACAACACTTTTTGCATGAGCAGGCTCTCCAGGAAAAGCTTGCAGATGTTCTTTGGGCAGATGCTGACTGGACGCATGGCTTTTGTGGTTGAAAGTGGTTGATGGGCCATCTATATATATACAGATCTTTCCTATGTTTGCCCAACCAAGAAGTGTCTGTCGTGTCCGTCTGCCAACAATGGTGACCTGTGACCCTCCAGGCGCCATGTGGCTCATATGGTTTGAAACGAAGAGCTTTCTATGTCTTCCATCAGGGGTCTGGCCTGGCGCGGAGCCTCCTTTCACATGTGTTCAATTGGTGCTTGGGGCACTGCTGGTGGAGCCTGCTGACACCTTGTCGATAGAAACAGCCTGATGGAAGTGGAGGCATTGTCCCGAACCCTCACAGTTGAGTCCCGTCTCTATATAAAGAACATGAAACAACCTTAGTTCACCAAGAAATCAGTAGATAGACTCTGCTGCTTGCCCTATGGCTCCCTATGGCCTATCTGTTCAATCTCCTCCCAAGCGATCGCCTTGTTGGTTTCCCCCGTCTGGTTGCGTGGCTCTTTGGATTACCATTTCCTCTGCAAACATGACTTACAGTGACCATGATTGTTCCAGGGAGTGTCACCCTCTAAGCGCCAACCACATATCTTTGGAAAATCCGAGCCACAGCGCCGGCTGCGGTGGGGCTGTACCAGGTCGGCCTCCTTGTCTGATCTGCTGGTCTTTCAAAGGGATCCTTCTGGAGGAGGTGTTTCTTTTTTCCTGCCTGCTACCTATCCCAAGTCGAGTACTTGGTTTTTTGTATGACCAACTTCAGTAGAATGAGGTCTTTGACCTGTACCGTATCTTTGGAATGCTTAGAACCCTGCACTGCACGTGCCTGCTATGGGTGAGTAGAACGTAGTCTGCGCGAGACGCAGAAATGGTCGCTCACCCCGACCACTCAAGAAGGTCTCAGATCAACACCTGTCACAAGGAAGGATCCGGCGATTTCAGAAGGATCTTTCTACATCCTACCCATCCTCCAAAGAAGATCCAGCCTTCTAGGCACAGAAATTCCTCTTTTGGTCTCACACTTCATCTGACAGGAACCCGAAGGATCACTGACGGGCCGGTGATCCTTCCCTCCCGCTCTCCCCCATCCCCCGTTCGCACCCACTCCTCCACGGGCAAGCTGGGGTCGAAAAAAATCGCCTGGGCGAGGATCGAACGAGAAAGTGAAGTTCGGATGATGGATCATCAGAGTCAGGGGGTCAGGGCCAGTCTTAACCCCAGATTCTTGTTGATGGAATCCACAACCAAAGGCGCAAAGCTGTGTTACTTCTGGCACTCAAGCAAGGGCCGCAGAACAGTTCGTAGACTCCGCCAAAATCACTACCCCTCAAAACAGAATAACCCCCCCCCTGACAGAAGGGAGCCATGGGTTTTGAGTATGGCATGACGGCCAAGAAAAAGCCTTCCGGCAGCTTTAGCCCTAGCTATGTTCGACTCAGGACTGGCAGAAGGGGAAAAAAGGCAGGGACGGCACCTCTAGAATCTCTAGAACCCATCACCATGGGCATTAAACTCCCAGGCACTGTTCAATGACGGCTTCAGGAAATCAAGTCTACCCAGCCAGGGGTCTCCATATTCAAAAATATAAATCCAAAATGAACCCTGAACCCATCAGGCTGTCTTCAACAGGCTGTCGGTCTGCACCGAGGCGTTTGCCCCCCCGCCCCGCCTCGAGTTCCGTCAGCTCCGTGGTGGCCGCGCGGCGCGACGCCGCACCGCGTCGTTCCACGCGTGGTTCCACGCCATGGCGCAGCGGGTCACTGTGCCGCACCGGTGGTTTGGGTCAGGCAAGGTGGGCGGCACCGGTCACTTGGAGGGTCTTCATGCACAGTATTGGCGGTTGAAAGATTCAGACGCCGGCTTGGAAGCTAGTTTGGCGCCAAGTAGTTCTGCAACAGTGTGGTTTTCCGGAAAAACAGTGTCCCAATTAGGCCAAGGTCGAAACAACACCGTCTTCAAACCATTTGCACCTCTTCGGCATTAAATTTTAACCCTATCCCAGAAGACCATGTGGACCAATCAGGACCATATGAAATGAGGATTGGGATGGTTTATCTCCAATTCCACCACTCCCATTGCTTCTGCTTCTCATGCCTTTCTTCCAAGTCAGCTTAAAGCTCAGGACCACCAGCAGCATGGCTCAGATCCATCCGCACGATGCCTTTGGTATCCCTAGAGGTCGAGGATCTCATTTTGGAGGTCATACAAAAACAATTGTCTTCGTACATGCTGCACTGAAGGACTCAAAGGACTCAGGACCAGGTCAGACTTGTGTCAGACTGGACTTGTAGGGTATGGTTTGGAAAGAAATTTGAACCACGTTGTTCATCCCTCTGCAATGGTCTCAAACTGTGTCTCAAGGAATTCCCAAATGTCTCATCCAAACCTGAGTCACCTCCATTTTGTCACCGAGCTTGAAGGGCTCCGAACTATCGGAAGGACCCTCGAAACTCGACGATCCTATCCGGTACCCTACTGAGTGAGTTGCGGGTCCTTTGTTTTACACCCCAAAAACCACCTCTCCGACGACGCACCGGGTTGCTCCTCCGGGTCGCTCCACCGGTCCACCGGTCGTCCGCCGACGCAGCGGCGGCGGCAGTCCGCGGAAGCGCGCCGCTCGCAGCTCGCCCCGGGTGATTTGGGGGCCAAACATGCCCAAGACCAAATAGTATGTATGAGTACAGCAAGTCTGCTACGGAAGAAGTACAAATGTACGTTGTGAAAAGCGAATTCAGTCCACAAGACACAAGTTCGTTGAGAAAACAGGTTCTCAAAGCCTCAGCCATGTTCAACAGAGACTGTCACACAGTCCGCGAAACAACTCCTTTCGGACAGTTGCAGAGAAATCCACACAGTCGCATCCCCATTCCATGGATTTCCATGGTCACAGTGCGGATAGAACCATAATAGTACGCCGTGCCGTAGTATTTTGGCTTTAAGAAGAGGAGGCCAAGCTCCCACCATTTAAGTCTGACCACCAATTTCGGGATCCGTCGCAGTTACTTTTTGCCTGCCTCCGTCGTGTACAGACGAGTTCTCGTCGCGAAACACCTGACGTCTGAACGGCAGAGAGTTGACAGCCACTAGCAGCCACCGCCATGAAACCGTGTGCAGCCAAAGGCAGTGAAGAGGTCGATTTGTCTGGTGTGGCGAAAATCGAGTGGACACTCCATGGCAACACCGGAGGTGTTTGGTCTTTTGCCTACCAGTGCCTACCAGGGTTCACAAAACGGTTGGTTTTTAGTCTCTGAGTGAGTGGATCATCGGTCTCCCCTATCCTCCAAAAAGCACCCCTTTGGAACTGCTGGCAATGTAACCGTTGCTATGCTTGCAGAGAGCAAAAGCACCACCCCTTGGTTTTGCGCCGCCGAAAATCTTGTCATTGGATCCCTGTTCTTCCACAGAACACCTTGAGGGCGGCTAAAAAATATCCGTTGTCACTGACCAAGTAGAGTAGAGTGGCATACAAAACAGTAAGGAACATAAGTTTGAACATCTGCTTACGGTTCATCCGAAACAAGATCTGCTATTGAAAGACATTGCCTTTCTTGGATCTTGCATGTTCACGCTCACATGCACTCTCCCAAAGTTTGTACATCTTTGTTAAGCAACTTGGGTTGACGACTGGCTCGGTGGCTGCGCATCCCCAGGCTTGTGGAACCGGTCTATGTACAAGAGGCGGTCCGATCGGCAGGCCGCACACACCGCCCCAACATGTCAGCGTGCGAGGAAGGAAAAGCAGATCAACTCTGAAACAACTTGGGATACTGAGCCCTCAGTGTTGTTTAAACTAGACCTGATAAAGGGTCACTATACCTACAAAAGTTGAAGGACCTCTATAGACTATCCCTTAAATACCCAATAAGGTTCTGTAAGGTAACTTGATTAATCTCTCTTGGTGTACAGTACTGGCATAGGATGGTGTTCTTTCTTCCATTCAAACCACGTTTTGGTGGGTAGAACTTGGTCAAGTAACCAAGCTGTTTCATGAGTGAAAAGCAATCCACATCTCTAGGAGATATCAAGATGATGCCAAGAATCTTGGTAATTATGGGCATGTGTTATAGAGAGAGAGAGATGTTACATCCTGTTTGCGTACAGCCTTGAACCTCAAGTGACTCAAGTTGTCTGTCTCAGTCGCACTCCATATGTTTTTGTCCATACACCCACTGAATCCCCCTATGTCTCACCGTCTGGCACATCACAGGGGGGCGTTGCGCTCCGCATTCGACCGTGCATGGGGCCACTCAGGCGGTGCGCTGCAAGAGGTGTACTCCAATCTCGGTGCTCACCAAGTCATGAACCTCTGCAGCTTCAAAGCGAGATGACCGGCATCCCGGCTCAGCCTATCGTTCGGGCGAAGTGGCGCCATGACCGTGAGTCCATCCGTTCACCGGAAGAAACTCCTTCCAGAAGTGGAATTGAAGACCGAATTCACCCACAAGCGTACCACAAGTTTCAAAGGACAGCCCAGAGTGCTTTCATTGTCGAAAAGAGAAGGATCACCCCCTTCTCTTCCCCGTTCTCTTCCCCTGTCTCCCCTTCACTTTCACTCCTCACATCCTCACATCCCTCTCGCCTCACCAACCTGGAGTTCAAAGGCAGCCTTAAGGACTGCCGCAGGCACTTGCGGTCGCACGCCTGACTTGCCGCGCGGCGGGGTCCGTGCGGGCGAGGCGCGGAAAACAAAACGCCGCGACGGGGCGCCGTCGATCGAGTCGTGTTTGATCAGTCAAAGCTTCACAGCTCGCTCCTCACCCTCATCTCGCCGCCCTCCCGCGCCTTGTTTGGCCTTGTCCTGCTGAATGCCAACACCCTTCACGCGGTCCAACCAGCCCATGTCGCCCGCCAAGTCGCCACCCTTCAGCGCGGAGGGACATTGCGAGACCTCCCGGCAGACCTTCCTCAGCTCGAAGGGGTGGCCGGTAAACGGAAGGGGGCTCTAGCTTCAGTTGGTGACCCTTTTTTCCAGGCCGGCTTGTAACATTGTTGCAACCCGGATAACCAGGATATCAAGGTTCTGTTCCGGACTGCTTCACACGCGAAAGCCGCGTGTTTCCCACTTCACAAGCTCATCTTCGCTCACGACCGTCACGGTTCAAACGGTCTGGCGTTTTTGGTTCTGGTCATGGAAGGTCAGTGTTTGCGATCGAGGACATGCATAGGAATAGAAGCGGAGCGTCCAAAAACGGCGTCCCCCCCGAAACAATGGAACGAAGGAACCGAGATTGGCCCAGATTGTTGTTTTAAATGTTTTTGTCGGATCACGTGACTTCACAACTTCAAGTCTGCATACCTGGAAATGCAAGTCGGAGCAATGGCATGGTGCACATCTCTTTCTTTTTCACTGATGTCGTGATATGAATCACCGGCAAGCGACTTAAATAGCAGCTCACTGGCTGCATGTCTTCCATGCCTGTTGGCCAGGTCAGGTCTCCCAAACCAGAACTTGCTACCTGCTACCAGCTTTCCCAACACCCTTGACCAGTGGCCCAGACCAGAACTCTAGTCAGATCGTCTGGTATCGACCTCGGACAAATTCCTTTGGCGTGGCCATTCGAAGAGGATTCCAGATGCAGCACTAACGAGTGGATGAATTTTCCCTGGTTCTTTTTCTATACAAGCCTCAAGCTTCTTGTTGCTAGTATATAATGGTAATGGCCTTCAACCTAACAGCAATGACCTCCACCTAGTAGCTTCTTGCTCCTGCTATAGCGATGCATCAGCATCATCAGCACGTCCCCATTTTGGATGGCCTCTCGGGGGAAGCTGCGAAGCTGCGATTGACCAAAAACCTCCCACCTCACTGAGAGAGGCTCCACAGTGAACATCCCCCCCTCAGTCATTCAAGCCAAGGCTCTGGAAGCTTTTCATGCCATCAGCCTATCTTCGGCCGTCACTCAAATCGGTTTTCACGGCCGCTGCGGATGGAAAGTGGGTGAAGACAAGCTTCACTTCCACCATGTGACGTGTGTAGTGGCAGGAACCCCCAGTGGCCTGAAATGTGCTCAGTCTGCAAGCTGAAGCATCGGATTCCTCAATGACCTTCGGGATCTACTGCCCTCATTCCACTGAGAGATGCGACCAGCTGGCATGTAAACACGAACCTGAGTGACCTCTATTTTGGACCACCCACCACCCAATAATAGGGTCAAACTTCCTCACTAAACCAATTCACAATTTTGAGGTCTTTTCCTGGACTTTTCCTGGGTTCTAGGTCAAAAAGGGACCGCCTGAAGCCTGTGACTAAGGTGGAAGGTGGTAGGAAGTTCCATCACGGCTTTCACAGAACCTGAGGCCCTCCCGAGGCGTCCAACCACGGCGTCTTTCCGTTCTCCATTTGTTCTGACCGCCATGAAGTCCAACCATCACCCCGACAACCCCCCAAAAAAGGTTTCGGCCCGCGACCAGCAAGACAACACAAGTCACCTCTTCAAACAAACAAATGTGCCTATTTTTCGCCCCTACGAAAAACCCTACCTTTGACTCTTACCTTCATCCGTCCTCTTCACCCTCCAAGAGCTCTCACCTCCAGTTTCAGCAAGATCTCCAACATCTCAGCCTCCGCCTCTTCTTGCGTGCGCTTCACCTGCCCCACCAAATTTCTCCAATCACGAATCGGTTCGCTTCAGTCGTCGTCAGATTTCACCGAAAAATGAGCTGGTAAGAAGATGGGCAACCGCACCCACATCATCTCCACCACCCCCCATCATACGCCGTTTCACCACCGCGCAGGGGTTCCGCGTTCCGGTGACCGCGGTGCCTGGCTCCGTCGGATGGGGTCCATCACTGGAGGCCCGGCCCCGGGCTTCACGCGTAGCAAGATCTGCCGTAGCCGCACCTGCACCCCGTGCAGCGGGACGAGCCCGAAGCCGCGAGGAGCGAGCAAATGGAATTGGGTGGTGAGGACCGCGGCCGAGGCCGGCTGCCAGTGTTCTGTTTGGAGAAGAGTACGATGTACACCGTGGGTCGTGAAAACATCGGGTGAAAACCATCCAAAGATGTTTGTGTCTAATAGGCGGGTTGAGCTGAGCTGAAGAGGCCATCCTCTTTGTCCAAAGCTGGATCTCAAATGTTGGACCATGAATTCATACCCTGGCATGTTCTGTTTCAGGGTGTTTTTCGACCCACATCATCGAGGCCTTCGCCGCCTTAGCCTTAGCCACCGTGTTCCGCGAAGTTTCGAGAGACTTCTCAGGTCGTTTGCAGGATGGGGTTTGGCAAAGGAAGGAACCACGGTTTGGATCCATGAGGTCTTTTGGGGGAACATAGAGGGGGTTGTTCAACATCCATGGTTTGATGAAGAAATCCTGACATGGTTCCATGCACATCGACGATCTTGGACCAGGTCAAAGCCCGGTCCAAGGTGAGACACATTGACTTCCGCCTCTTTTCATGTTCGTTCGATCGCCGTAAATCGTTATGTCCACACATTGGCAAATATGCATCCCCTGCCAATGGTGAACAAATGGTCCAGATCGGTCTCCCAATTTCTTCATCCACATAATGAAACCGCTAATGCCTTTTGATGCCTCTACATCTCTCAGGGCCATCTGGGATGACTCAACCCAACTGATCCTTTCACCCCCACCCCTCCGGTGCCTGGTCTGCCTTCCCGGACCCGGTGCCACCGGTGCCCGCGGTGAAGATGGGGCTCGTGGAGCCCGTCTGAGTGAGGACGACCGAGCGAAGTGGCTGTGGCCAGCGACTCGCTCGCTTCATGGGATGGAAAAGACCGGAGTCGTTCGAAATGTTTTGATGTTCGGAGTCTTTCTGAGACGTTCGGAGTCTTTAACCACCAGTTTGGGGACATGCGGGGACGTCAAAAAGGATCCAAGTTCCAACCTTTTGTCCAGCCGGAGAGGCAGATCCACCCCTCACCCACTCCCAGCCCCTTGGAACACGTCACCGGAACCAACTGAACCAAGCGATCCACCAACCTTGACATCCTGCGTGGCGAAAGCTCACAAACGGGCCCCCTGATGGGTCACATACTTATATAAGGGGGACTCCAAAAAGGTCAATCTGAAGAAGCTGGTTATAGTGGTCCATAGTGGTCCCCAAATAGATCGGTTTCCGACATCATGAGCGGCATCTACTTTTCTATCTACTTGGGGGGTCTATCTAAAGCCCCTCGTCCGGAAATCCCTGGGCCGTTGCTTTCTCGTCCGCGCCTTGAGACGCTTGGCCGGAGCTTCTGGCCTCAGGAAAAAAGGACATCAATTGCAGTGCTGCAACACTCTCATAATCTCATACCTTCCAATAGTCCAACGACATGACTGATCAAAAATCTGCTTGCCCAGCATCCAAAAGACCGGCCATTCCCTCTCCCAAGTGCTCCCCTGGGCTCCTCACGCCGTCGGCCCCTCGGCCTCCTCCGGCAGCAGCCGCGCGCAGGCCACGGCCATGGGCTTCGCCACGCCGCGCGTGCGCCGAGCGCGCAGCAGGGCGATGGAGCCTGCGGAATGGGTCCGCCACCCCGCGCAGGGCGGCCGGACGTGGTCGTGGAAGTCCCGCCCAGACGAAGCCAAAATGATCATTGTGTTTTTCTTTATATTATGGAAAGGGCACTATGCGGAATCGCGTAGCCAGCAACTGATTGACAAAGCAACGTCACGTGAACGAGCGTAGCAATGGAATCTTCCTTGCGTGTTCACTCAGAAAGCTCCAGTTTTCGGGTCTTGCATTCCACTGCTCGCACCATCAGTCACCCATGACCCACCAGTGCCGGACCCCCCCTAAACCCCCTGTGAACCACCCTGGTCATCCACACACCGACCGTCACCCCAACGAACCAGTGTCGAACCGACCGAAGAGTGGCCACGGCTCCGGCCACGGCCTGTGCGGGCCCAGCGTTTGGACAATTGCGGCGCCAAGAGTTTTTCGAAGTCCTCGTCCAGGGAACGCGTCGCCCTCGGGTGCGTTGGCGCGGAATCTAGTTCATCCCTCGGGTGCGTTGGGCGGGTCGGGGGTGGAATCAAAAACAAAACGTGGCCGCAACTTCCAGTCTAGGGTAGATGATGTCTGCAACTTCCGCAGTTTGGACATTTGTCCAAAGTTCCAAGAAAAGTGTTTGGGCACTCTCACCTCTAAAACCATCACCACACCACTCACATCAACTCACCACACAGCACCCCAGGGCGCCACACGGTCCCACACTCGCGGCCGCGTAGAGGGCCTCGGCCTCCTTCCTGGGCGCCAGGCAGGTTCAGCTGGGAAAACAGACTCGCTGGGCCATGAAAAACGGGCAATGGACTCCCACACGACTTGATACCCTTTTCATGAGGTGATCCGGAGTTCCACCTAGAAACTAAAATATGGAGCCAAGATCAGTGGGCTAACTTTACCTTCTAGTCCCAGATCCCTGAACATTCTTTCACGAGCGAACAGATCAAAGTGAATGCCAAACTGGAACTCTTTCGGTTGCTTGGGTCTTCGACTCTCTGGTGAGGAAAAAGGACGCGAAAATGATGCTGAGGCTGTTGACCTGCACCACCCACAAACGTCAAAAAAATATAAAACAGTGGAACCTATTATGCTCATGACAACTCTGGGCGCACGCTTCTCGCCAGGGCTCAGCAGCAAGAACTTCGCCTTCGCCGGCGCTGACCCCGTGGTGACGGTGGGCGACGAGGTGCCCGGTGCAGGCGCCTGGCGGCTTCGATGAAGAAGTCCTGCGTCTGCCCATATGTGTTGGTAACGGTTTATACACTACCAGTAGCTCATCCCCTTAACTGAAGGGCTGGGGTATAGTGGTACGTAGAGCTGCACGCATGAGGGAGGGCGCGCCTCATCCGCACACACGGATTCGACTCAAGTGCGCACACACATTTTATCAGCCCTTGTGCCTCATCTGCGCACACACTTGTTGACTCAAGCCCGCACACACCCCATCGGGGGGACTCAAGTGCGCACACAGGCCCTTTCGCGAATGTTGCTGCGTATTCCAAATTTCACCCCTGCATTGCTCACTTAAAGGGGTAGTCAACTTGGAATGGCCACTCCTTCTCTAAATTTTACCCTCAAGTGGCTCACCAAAGGGTGAGTCAACTTGGAATGACCACTTCCTTCTCTAAATTTTACCCTGGGGTGGCTCAACAAAGGGTGGGTCAACTTGGAAGGGCAACATCCTTATCTAAATTTTACCCCTGCATTGCCCACACAAAGGGGTGAGTCAAGTTGAAATGGCGACATCCTTCTCTAAAATTTACTCCTGCCTTGCCGACAAAAGGGTTAGTCAACTTGGAGTGGCAACATCCTTCTCTAAAATTTACCCCTGCATTGCCCAAGTGACTTCCTCACTCATTCCATCAGTCACTCACTCACGCACGCACGCACGCCCGGCCCGCCCGGCCCGCCCGCCCGCCCGCCCGGCCGCCCG